AAAACCATGGAAGTGTGCGAAGTGACACGTATTGAGATAACAACGACTCTTACGGCATTTTTGGGAAAATTGGGAATCAGCAGCCCTAACAGGAGAGGAATGAGACGGCAGAAGGACACACTGCTTTACAACATACCAACCAAGATTGGGTTAGTTCAATCAACAACCAACAAGATTTAAACAACAACATATTTAGTTTAATTGGATGAATAATAATAACAAAAATTACAACAAGAATCAACAAGAAGCTAAGGCAAATAATCAATCAGACCATAAAAATTGATGAAGAAAATAAAAGTTAAACTATCTATGTACAAGAAGAAAAAGATAAGAAGAAAATACGCCAACAAAAAGAAGAAATCAGCAACGATCGACCAGAAATTGACGATCTGGAAGAAAAAAGGAAGAATTAAAATACGCCCAAATCAACAAAGGATTAAAAAGTATAAATAGCAAAGAAAAAAGAGAAATATAATCAAGAAAATTATCAATCATGGAAATATTATTATCGATAATTGTAGGATTAATAATATACGCAATAATAAGATTAATAAGCAAAAATAAAGAAGAAGAAAAAGAAAGGAAAAGATTGATAAGAGAAAAACCGATTAGATATATCATAGATTATACAACAAGAGAGATAAACTATTTTAAGATAACAGAAGGAGGACCCGTGAAAATATCTGAAGAATTATATCAAAAACAGGAAGAAGAACTATTAAAAGAAGGAAAATATACAGAAACAAAAAACGAGTTAAATACAGAGGGAGAAATGATTAGAAAAACAATCATCTTTAATTAGAAATAAACGATAAGCAGAAAGTAAGCAAGAAGAAAAGCTGAATAATCAAGAAGAAAACTTCATCTATAAAAAGAAAGGAGAAAATAAGGAAGGAACCTCACTCAATCGAGTTTATAAAAAATTATATGAAAATAAAAATACCCTTAATAAAAAACCAAGAAGAAATTGAACCTTACAAAACGCTAAGAAGAAAAAATCAAATAATAGAAAAATTATCAAACGAATTAACGGTAGAAAAACAAAAGAAAAAACGGAGAAATCGAAAAATAAGAATATTAAAGGAAAGAAACAATAGATTAAGGAAGGAAATTAAAAATATAACATTAAGAGATATACGAAGCATCTAGAAAACATACATGTGCAATCATAAAAACTGTAGACACGAAAAAAGAGAGCAAAAATATAAACTTAAGCCAGACGAAGCGATATCAAGAACAGGACTCATATATACACCTTTAAGCGTAATAAGAAAAAGAATAGAAGAAAACAAACCAAAAAGAGACCCAGAAGAAGAAAGACGGAAAAGACAGGAGCAACAAAGAAAAGAGCGAGAAGAACGAGAACAACAACAGCAAAAACAACGGGAAAACGAACTAAGAGAACAAGAAAAGAGAAATCAAGAAGAAAGACAAAGACGTGAACAAAGAGACCAAGAAAAAAGAAATAAAGAACGAAAAGAAGAAGAACAAAGGGTTTTAGACAAATTAATTAGTATTGCAAGAAGACTAGGATTTACAGTAAGAGAATACGGAGGAATAATATATTATACAGATCAAAACGGAGAAAGAGTAATCACCAGAAGAAAATTAGTAGAATTAATTGACGAAGAACTTAAGAGAATAGAAAGGTTATTAAGAGAAAAAGAAGGACGAACAGAACAAGACGCAAAATACGCAAAATATTATAACAACGAAAGAAACATAGACGCAATATTTAATTATTTCGGAGGAAAAGGAACATTAGAAGAAATAGACCGACAATTTGAAGAATTTAGAATAAGAGAAAAGTTAGACGATTTCACAGTAGAATTAAGAAATAATCAAACAGGACTATTCGAACCAAATAGTTTTTATAAATCAACCATATCAGAACCGGAATATAATCAACTAAAAGCAGAATTCGATTGTTACAAAGGAAGAATTTAATGTCAGCAAGCACTATACCAAACGATCCGTATTTATCATTATTTAACAGAATCAATAGGATAGCAACAAGTAATCCAAAATATAACACACTCGTAAATGAAATAGCAGAATTAATAGGATTTATACAAGCGGACGAAGAAGAAACATCAGGAAAAACAGTAGTACCAGGAAACTTTCAGGGAACAGTAATACAAAGGTTAGAATTATTAAAAGAAGAAATTGTAACAAATATCCTAAAATCGAATTTAGAAGGACAATCGGGAATACCAATTGAAGGAAGATCACCTAAAGATACTAGATCAATAGATTCAAAAACAGGAAGAATTATACTAGGAAGAAGATTAGCTGAAGGAGAAAGATTTAACGACATAAACGGAGGAATATATAGAAAAAAGAAAACAACATAGATAAATAAACTATATGAAAAAGGAAGAAATAATAGAAATAAAAGAAGAAGACATAAAAGAAGAATTAATTAAAGAAAATAAACGAGATAAGGAAATCATTAAACAAATAAATAAAGAAAAAGATACACTTACAAAACAGCTAAGAGAACAGAAAATAATATATTTAAGAGAAAAGAGAGAAGATACCGAGAAAATAAGAAAGATAACAGACGAGTTAGTAGAACAAAAATATAAAATAAGAAAAAACACAACAATATTAGGAAAGACAAAAGAAAGAGAAGAGATAGTACTAGCAATAGGAGAAACAGAAACACAACCGAAATCATCTACAGAAGACGAAATAAAAAGACTAATAAAAGAAATAGAAAAATTACTCAGGGAAATTGAAGAACTTGAAGAAAGATTAGAATTCGCAATAGACGTAATAATAAACCTATATAAGAGAATTAAATATCAATTAGAAGAAGAAAACGACTCAAAATATAACTCGATAGAAAAAGAATTTGAAAAATTAGAAAAAGCAATAGGAGACGAACCAATAATAAAAATAAATAGAGAAGCAAAGATAAAATTAATCCAACTAGAAAATCAAAGAAAACAATACGCAGAAAAGAGAAAGGAAAGAGAACGATTAAGGAATAGTGGAAACAAATAAGTTATTATTAAAAAACGCTTTAGAAAAACTAGCAGAAGTACAAAAGGATTTAGAGGAAAAAGAGAAAGAACTTGAAAAAGTAACAAATCAATTTAATAATAAAGATCAAAAGAACAGAACCAGAAAAAAACAAGTAGAGAAGTTAGAATTAGAAAACGCGGATTTAAAGTCAAAGCTAGCACAGGCAGAAAATCTAAATAAATTACTTGACGACGAAAATAAAAATTTAACTAAGGAAAGAAACAAACTTAAAAAAGATAATCAGAAATTAAAAACAGAAAACGATCAATTAAAAGCAGCAGCAGGAAATAATCCAGCAAAAATGGCAGGACTACCGTTAAAGTTAAGAGAGGAAAGAGATGAACAAAGGAGAATAGATGATTTTAATAACTTTAAAGATCAGAACATAAGGATATCAGATTTAAGAACATACGACGGAACAAGGAAAGAAACAGAATCATGGATTGATGATGTAGAACAATGGCTAATAGCAAATTCACTGCCAAAAGGGAACGAACCAAATACCAACTGTGATGGAACACCAGCAGGAGGAAATATACAAAACGAAGCAGAACCAGGAATAACATGGCAAGCTCTAAGGTTAAGAAGAAGACCAGGAGATAATACTAATGCAGGAACAATAAGAGTCAATGCAGTAAGAGATGGATACGAACTAATAAATGCAACATTGAATGTTCAGGATTTACAAAGAATGGCAGGAAAGATAGGAAGGTTAAACGAAACATTCGATGCAGCGGTAAATGACTGTAAGAGATCATCAAGGATAATAGAACTTATAGCAACAAGATTTATAGGAGAAGCACAGATAGCATGGAAATCACTACAAGGAATCGATAGACCAAGAACATGGGAAGATCACCAATTTGAAGGAGCAGTAGCACCATTAGGATTAAAGTCATGGATTAGAAGAAATTTCTTATCAAGAGTAGATACTCAATTAAAATATGCGGAATTCACAAAAATAAAAATGACATATCACTACAAAAATATTCAAGAATACAATGTCAAATATAATAACCTAAAAAGACAGGCTAGACAAGAAAATATGGAAAGAAGGAATGCAATAGACCATTACTTAAATTCGTTACCACATTCAATAGAAATAAGAGTAAGAGAATGGATGACAACGAAGGAAACAGAAGGAACCGAAGTACCATTGGAAGGAGATACAAATTCAGTACAAGCCAATGCAATAGTAATATACTCACAATTAGAAAGAGTTAAGGGAGATCTGGAAACAAAAAGCCCATATAAGTCCACAAACTATAGGAAAAACTATAGGGTTAATGAAATAAATGAATCAATAGAAGAACTAGTAGAAAGAATAAATGAATTAGAAGTCGATGAAGAAAAGAAAGAAGAATTAATCGGAAACATAGAACGATTAGAACTAAGCGGAAGCACATTTCCAGGAAAAAATGGAAGAAACCATATAAAAATGGAAATCATTGACCCAAATAAAGAAAAATTTTCATTCCAAGAAAAAGGAAAATATAAACCAAAGTATAAATCAATGAACCAAGAAAATAAACGAGGATATAACTCGAGAGGAAGGTTCAATAGATCTGGAAGAGGCAGATCAGGAAGAGGAAGAAATAATAATTTAAAGTTTAGAAAATTATCTTTTAAAGAAATAAACGAAATAGAAGACGATGATGAAGAAGAAGAAGAAGAGATATACATGATAAGAGAAATTTTATCAGAAGAAATTTTGTCAGAAGAAGAAATAGAAATATCTAGAGGAGGAATTGTTTCAGCAAAAGAAAAAGGAAGAAAATACGAATGTAAAATCATTAAAAAACTAGAGGAATCAGGAATACAAGTAATTGCCACAAAGGAACAAGTAGAAGGAACAAATATAGGAGATAAAGGAATAGATTTTATGATACAGTCAACAAATGGAATGATATTAGGACAGATAAAAGATTGGAACAAAAAAGTAGGAGCAGAAAAAGTAAAAGAATTTATAACAACAGTATCAAAGGCACCTAATAATAAAGGAATAATTATATCAAGTTCAGGATTTACAAAATCCGCATACGAAGAAATAAAAGATATAGAAAACATCATATTAGCAGAAGAAGGAGAAATCATTGAAAAAATACAGGAAATATCGACAATAAAAATAGTACAACGGAAAAAGAGTAGAGAAATAAATATAGAAAAAGCAGATGAAATGATTATATCAAACGAACTAAGAATAACGAAACCAGAAAATATAATGATAATTGAAGAAAACCAACTTCTCCAATTAGAAGAAAGAAAAACAGGAAGAAAAATTAAAAGAAAGAAAAAACGTGACAACTTATTTGAACTATATAGCTCAGAAGAAGATAATGAAATACTAGAATTACCATTAAAAACTAATAATAGATACCATGTAAAAATAATTATTAAAGGAAGAGAATTTATAGGATTAGTAGATTCAGGAGCAGCAAAAAATGCAATAAGATACCAACTAGCAAAAGAACTAGGACTAGAAATAAAACCAACAGAAAAAAGATTTGGAACAGCAGGAACCCCGGCTAAAGTAAAAGGAAAATCAGAAAATCGAATTAAAGTAGGAGAAGAAGAAAGAGAAAGCAAAGAAATGCTATATGTAATTGACAGTTCAGGAATGACAGAAATTATATTAGGAAGGACATGGCTAGAAGATCTAGGAGATCATATAATAGTAGATACATATGGAACAATAAATAGAAGAGACGGAAATAGAATAGGAAAAACAATTATTACACTATATAATTCATCAATGAAGACTAAAGCAGAAAATATAAACGAAATACAGGAAATCCATAAGGAAGAAAAACAGGATATATATGAAATTACCGAAGAAGAATGCATAGAAGCACTAACAGACTATTTTACACCACAAGGATTGATGAAAATAGCAGGAAAAGAAATCATAGGATTTATGCTAAGAACTATAGATCAGAAATTTGACATATCAAAAGGAATAACTGAGAAAACAGCGCGATATATTAGAAAATACTTAGTAGGAACAGTAAAACAATTTATTTCAACACAACTAAAAGAATATATGGTAGATTATATGCTAAATATAATAGAAAAAGTAGTAGTACCAGATTCTTTAATAGAAAGACAAGTTGATAAATTATTAACATATGTACTAAAAAAGACAAATTTAATAACAAGAAATATATTCTATTTTGCCGAAATGGAAAAAGAAGAGGAAATTTACGAAAAAATTGAGGAGATATTTGAAGAAGAAAATGAATTAGAGCCAGGATACGAATATGATATCGACATATATGAATGGATGGATCCAGAAAAAAAAGAATTTGACAAAGAAAACACAGAAGAATATGCAGAAATGTTTGAAGAAAATTTAGAAAAACTAGAAGAATTAAAGATATTCGAATGCGAAGATAGTATAGAAATATTTAATTGGGCAAACCCATGGAGAAATAAGAATGAAGTAGCACCAGGAGTAGATACAAAGAATTTGACGTTCAAGAAAAGGAGTGAGATAGAAACACAGAAAAATTGGAATAGAAATAATGAGATAAGATTCGGAAATAATCAGAGTAATTACAGAAGACCAGAATTTATAAGAGGAACTATAGTATCTCAACCAGGAAAATCACCGATAATGACGAGAGAGGTAATTGGAGAAAGAGAACAAAACGTACCAGCATATACACCAGAACCCAAAGAAGGTGAAAAAAGAGAAGAATATACACCAGTAGATACACCAACAGAAACTCCAAATACGACGGATAACGAAGGAAGAGAGACAAGGAGAATATACAACAAAAATGCCAATAGAAACAAATTTTCGAAAAGAAAATTTTCCAGAAAAGGCAAGAAGGATAGGATCAAAGAAAAGGGTATAAATTATACAAATAAGAAAGACTCAGGATACGACACTCTATCAGGATACAAAGAAACAGCTAGAATAAACCCATTTAGAAGTAAACAGCAAGGATCAGGAAGAGCTATATCGGCAACAAGACCAACGACAGCTACAGTTACAACAGCAGGAAGAAATAATACAGGAGGAAGAATTACACTTATATCAAGATTATATCAATCTGGAGAAAGAGGAAATTCATTCACAGCAATAGGAAAAGTTGGCAACACCGAAATAAAAATAATATTTAATATGGAAAGAGAATACGACATAATATCAAATGCCACGTTAGCACAAAGAATTGGTGGAGGAAATCACAATCTAAGAACGGAAGACCAAGCATTGGTAACGTCAGGATTACCAGAAGAATTATCAAGTAATAGAAGAATTACACAGAAAAAGTCAGACGATTCAGTGTGCATAGAATTCGAATATTTTATAATATTATGTAAGAAAATATTCATAAACAGTAGTACAACAAATAGCAACTATATAAGTATAGGACTAAAAACTATCAAACAGAATGGAATAGAATTTAACTTTAACAAAAATCAGTTTAGTATACCAAACCCAGAATATGAGCCAAACCAACAAAAACCAAGATTATATGCCAGCAACATATATGAAAGATCAGACTATGGAAGAAGACCACTGCAACTATCAGAATTACAAGATTCGGATGATGACTCGGATTATTCTGAGGAAATAGAAATGTTAAATGAAGAATCAGATAACGAAATTGTAATGGAAAATGTTGAAGAACGAGAAAAAAGAGAAATAGAAAAAGAAACTGAAGAGAGAAGAATAATGCTTGATTTAATGGATTCATTATACGGATCTGAACCAGAAGAATGGGAAAAAGAACAGGAAAAGACTGAGAAAAAGACACCCTACTTCATGAAAGAAATTATAAAAGGAAAAATAATTAAGGAAGAATTTAACTCAACATGGCTAATGAAAGAATACAACTATCAAGTTAGAAGAGTGAACTTTAATAGTAAAGAAAAACTAAATATACCTTATTATGGGATAATAGAAGGAGAATTATCAAGTGAAAGAATAAGAAAAGCTCGATCAAAAGAATTATTAAAAACCCATTACTGGAAGGAAGAATACCCTAAAAAAACAATAGAAAGAATTACCAAATATTATAAGATAGGAAATAAAGAGGAAGAAGAAATATGTGAAAAATACAACACAAATAACAACGAAGAATTTAACACAAAAATATATTCATTTACAAAAGAAGACTTAAAATTACAAGAAGAATTTGAAGAAGGAATAGAAAGGCAATTATTCAAAGAAATATATTTTATGAAAGGAAAAACGAGAGAAGAAAAGAAATACGAAAAATATATAGGAACATTCAAAGAAAACGGAATAAGAATAGTACTTTATGAAATAGAAGACGAAAAATATACAAAAAAGTATATTAAAAGGAAAGAAAAACAGAATAATAATTGGATAAACTGGCACGATAAGAAACAAATAATGGAAAAAGAAGACAAAAGTCGATTAGGAATTTGTCATAAAAGGAAATACCCTCATCAAAGAAATGATAATCCAGAAAATAGAATACAAATCCTAGAATATTGGAAAGAATATTATCATCCAGAACAAGAAGAAACAGATCAAGAAAAAATAAAGATTAAAGAAAAGTTATTCGAAGAAATATATAGGAAAGGATACAAGCCAAAATGGTACAAGGAAGAGAAGGAAAAACACGAAGAACAATCTATATGGAAAAATACCATTAAGAATGTAGACAATGAAATAATTGAAATAATAAACCAAGAAGAAGAAATGAATGAAAAAATTGCAGATTATGACTATAATGAAACGGATGAGGAAATGTTCATGCTAGAAGAAATTTCACAGACAGACGAAAAGTTAGAGAGAATGGAAAATGAGGAAAAACACAAAGGAAGAAGCTTTGTAATAATCATTTTATGGGATGACGAAGGAACATGGATTTCAAGAAGAGAAAACATGAACAAAGTATATTACGGATTATATCAATACCCTGGAGGAGGAAAAGAAGACGGTGAATCCTTCAAAGAAGCAGCGATAAGAGAATTGGAAGAAGAAACGGGAATAGAAAGAAATATCGAAGATCTGGAATACGTGACAACACATAAATGGAAAAACAACGGACAAGAATGTAAAACCAAAGTATATTTAGTAAGATTATTTAGAATAATAGGAGAAAGACCAGAAGTAAGAGAACCAAACAATATAAAAGAATGGATAAAAATAGATTATAAGGATCTGAGACACTACAAAATGACACCTACTATAGAATATGATAAAGAAAAAATCATAAAAAGTCTCGAAAAAGAGATCTAAGTCTTTGTTGGAAGGACCAACAGACGTTAAAGAATATAAAAACAAAAGAAAAATAGAAAAAATGGAAGAAATAGAAACGGAAGAAACAAATAAGAAATTAAAAACAGAAGATTATAAAATAAAAGAAAGCTTTAATCAAAGATATGATGATATGGAAGGAATGAGAAACAAAAAATCAATAAAAGAAATGACCAATGAAGAATTCCTAAAACAATTTAAGAATTTACCAGAAATTAAAGAACTAAGAGAATTACTTCTGAAATATAAAGGAATATTCGCAGTATCGGAAGAGGATATGGAACAGATACCACGAGAAATAGCGGAATTTTCAATACCATTAAAAGAAGGAATGCAGCCTAAAGACATGGACATAAACCCAGAAGAAAAGAAAGATATAAAAATACAAGAATCACTTAAAAAATGGCTAACAAATCAAATGAAGGCAGGATATATACAAAAGGTAGAAAAAGGAGGAATTGTAGAACGTGTAGAATTTGCATGTAATCTCATAACCGTAGAAAAGAAAGGAAAAGACGAACTAAGACATTGTCAAAATATGACCAGGCTCAATGAATGTACAATAGATAGATCACAAAGGATAGGATTTTTAGAAATGCAATTAAAAAATGCGGTAGGATACAAATATTATTCGACAATGGATATAAGAATGGGATTCAATAACATAGGAATAAAGTCAGAAGATATATATAAAACAGCATTCAAATGTATATATGGAATATATGTACAGTTGGTCATGGGATTTGGATATAAAGACGCACCAACAGAATTTCAGGAAACTATGGAAAGAATATTCAAAGAAATAATATTTGAAGATTGGATATCGATCTATATGGACGATATACTGGTAAAAACAAATTCAACCAGAGAAATGTTACAAAATTTAGAAAAGGTATTTAGATTAATGGTAAAAGGAAAAATCAAAGCAGATCCATCAAAATGTGAATTTATGAAAAAGGAAGTAAAAATCTTAGGAAAACTAGTATCGGAAAAAGGAATGAGGATACCAGACGCTTACCTAAAAGCATTGGAAGACTGGAAATGGCCAGAGGGATTAGAAAGTTATAACGGAAGGATAACATGGATGATGGATTTTGTCCAGGATGCACAAGAAGACATGTCAATAATACGAAGAGTCATAAATGAAGAAAAAACGGGACCTGTAGATTACAAGGAACCAAAAGAAGCATTTGAACGACTTAAAGAAAAGATAAGAAAAAGAGTCGTATTAGGAAAAGCAGATTATACAAAGATAATGAAATTATCTTGTGATGCAAGTGATAATGCACTAGGAGCAGTTTTATACCAAGATAAAGAAGAAGTTGATGAAAAAGGAAGAAAAACAACAAAGAAAGAAATATTAGGATTTTATTCAAGATCATTTAATAATTTACAAAAAGGATATTCAATTCCAAGAAAAGAATTAATGGCTATAAATGAAGGAATAGAACACTTTTATGCAGATCTTAGGATATCTAAAGAAGTACAAATCCTAACAGATAGCGCAATCGCATATAAATTACATAAAAATATAACAAAAGGAAAAATAACAAAATCACCAAAGTTTTTACCGCTACTAATAGAACACATAGAATTACCTAAGCAGATAATCTGGATCAGTAGAGATAAAAATAAATGGTCAGATCTCATGACACGAATAGGACAGGAAGATAAGAAGAAATTTGAAAATGAACAAATTGATAAAATAATAAACAAGGAAAAACTAGAAATAGATCAAGTACAAGATACAGAATTATACCCAGGAGGAAAAAAGATTGAAAATCCAAGACAGGAAAAAAAGAAAAGAAAAATGATGAATAATCAAAATAACGAAAAAATTGTTAAGAAAAGAAAAAAGATTATTAAGAAAATTACTAATCAGAAGAAGGAAAAACCTATAAAAAGGAAAGGAAGAAAACATGGCTAAAAACAATATGAATAACTTCATAAAGGAAAAAGAAAAAGAAATAAACAATAATAATCAAATTCAAGAAGAATATAATAAACTTCGGAAGGAAATAGTTAAACAAAATACCGAAGAAATTAAAGAGGAATTCGAAAAATTAATTAGACTTAATCGAGAAATAAGAGAAACAGACGAAGGAGAAACGAATTACGAAAAGAAAATAGAAAAGATAGGAAACCTGAGAAAACAAAAGAATCTAATCAAAAGAGAAATTGTGGAAATATCCAAATCAAGGAAGTTAAATAGCGAGATAATATACAAAGAATTAAAAGATGGAACAAAACAATCAAAACCAAGAGACCAATCAAAATGTTCAGGAAAATCAACAAATCACGTTTCAACCCGAGGAATACGAAGAAATGAAGAAAAATCTCGAGAAATACAAACTAATGATGAAACAAATAGAAAAGGAGGAAAAAGAAAAAGAAATCGAACAAAAGAAGAAAACCTATCAAGAGAAGAAAAAAGAATTAAAGGGAATAAATCAACAAATCATGGAACTGACGAACCAACAGGATCGACTAATTTATGAGTTGAGGGAATTAGAAAATGAAATCACTGGAAAAGAACTTGAAAAAGGAAAAGAGAAAAGACAGGAAGAAGTTCGAGCAGAAACCTCCAGAAGGGAACCATCACCGGGAGAAATATGGACCAAAAGATACGAAGAAAGAAATCAAATCGCAACAAATAATACATACAGAGAAAGTAGAAGACCAATCCAATACGGGAATAATTGGGAAAGAAGAGGAACTTTCGGATGTAGTAACTGTGGAGAAACCACCCATGCGTATGCTAATTGTCCAAAAGTAAGATGCGGAGAATGCGGAGATCTTGGACATATTAAAAAATTCTGTAAAAATAAAAAATGTGATAAGTGCGGAGAAACAGGGCACATCAGAAAGGATTGTTACAACTATACAACAAAGGAAATAATGGTCGCAAGAAAGGTATCGGAGGAAATCCACGAAACAAAATTCACAGCTGCTGAAAATTGACTAGAAGATTGGAAAAATGATGGATGGCACCGACCAGGAGACTACAATAAAATAATAATAAAAAGATCGGAAGGAAAGCTACCAGTGTTACCAAGGGAAATTATTGAAGAAATACTATTACATAACGAAAAACAATATGACAAGGAAGGGAGAAAAGAAATATTAAAGTATAGAAGATTATCAAAAGAATGGAATGAGCGATTTAGAAAGTTTAACGACTTTTCATTAGTAGAAAAAGAATACTGTATATTGAAAGAAAAGTTTAAAAAGAAGCAACCATGTTTATGTAGCATAGATCAGAATGGACACTTGGGAGAAAAATGCGATTATTGTATAAAATATCTTAAATTCCTAAATTTTGAAGAAAAACTAATAGATAAATTCGGAAGAAAAAGATTTGAAGATTGTACTTGTGAATACTGTAAGAAAGTAGAAGAATACAAAAAGAGAAGGAAAGAAAATAAGAAATCAGAAGATTACGGAACAATCGTTAACCAAATAATGAACAAACAATTAGGATATGGATCATGGACCATAAGAGAAATAATAGAAAATATTAGGTATCATAAAACTACCAATAGTCACGGGAGAAATTGTAGGACATGTAACATACTAAAAGAAAGATTAGACGAGATAAGGGAAAAAGATAATCAATATTACTAATCAAAAGAAAAGCTGAATAATCAGAAAACTTTATTATCTAACGGAAACTTATATAAGAAAGGTATGATCGGAGAAAATAAAATGCTATAAATACCCATTAAAATGACTGGAGTAAAAAGAAACCACAAAGAAACCGAAGAAAAACTAGATTTTGAACAGATTAGTGAAGAAATTACCCAAGAAAGTGAAAATAAAAGAAGAAGAAAGGAGCAAAATAGAAATTCACAAAAAGGATATAAAGAACGACGGAATAAATACATTGAAGAAATGGAAAAAACAATTGAAAAATACGAAAAAAGATTCAAAGAAATCGAAGAAAAAATAGAAAGCTTAATAAAAGGAGAACCAGTAGAAACAGGAAGCACCCGAGAAAAAGAAACTCAAACGGAAGAAAAATTGTACACTCAGAAAGAAGTAGATACGATAATCTGGAGGACGAAACAATTTGATGAAATATACAAAAAAGAAAAACAGGAACGAGAAATACAAAGAAAACAAGATGAAATAGACGAAAGGGAACTTGCGACAATACTAGAAATTTTAGATCAAAATAATCAATCAGGAACCTATACGATTACTAGTCAATATCTAGAGGAATGAAATGATTAATAATCAGAAGAATAATCAATGATCGAAAGTATCATCGGTTAAAGAAAATTTTATTAAATATTTTAGAAATCTTAGTAATTGATGAGTAATCAGAATGATCTTCAGGAGTTTTATTTTTATTATAAATAGGGAGTTCATTTCCCAACTTTCAACCTTATGTTGAATTTTATAAATTTTTCATCTATCTTATTATTACATGTATTTTATAACCAAATCATTAAATAAAATATCAATTTATTATATTATAAACTTGACTTTCTTTTATTATGAAATTCGTTTTAACTATGAAGTTAGTAAAATCGAGAATTTACATTGATAATGAGCGCTGGTGTCAGCAAATTTTTATAAAATTCAACATCTAAACTTAATAAACTTGAGGAAGCATACTCCAAAGAGTCAATATTAAGCAGCAAAAAGTTATCAATGAGAAAATCCATTGAAAAACTATTGTGTCCAGAATAATACATTCTGATGAGAAATTCACTATCAATGAAATGAGCAATTCGAAGGATTGTTTTGAAAATTGATATAAAGAATATTCGAAATAAATCTTCTAATTTATTTAAAAATAGACAAGACTATCCATTTTAGGATTAGTAGTTCTAAAATAAATAAAGGAGTTATAATGGAAAGCGAGATTGTAGAACGAAAGGAGTTAATGTATACAACGCCCTTTAACGCCACAATCTTTGCAATCTATATTATACCTCGCGCATTCTAACGTTATTAGATCGAGAATCACGTTAATGCTTGCAACCTCTGATTAGTACGATAACCTATTAGATGTCGAGATGAGATAATAGTAATGAGTAGGCCAACTTCATTCAAATTATCGAAAAAGACTTATGAAATCAGAAATTGTTTAGACCGGTTCTAACAATAGAAGAAAGTAGTAAGCTCCCTAATCTTACTAGTGATTGTCATAGCGAAAGGCGAAATGGCATGAACGACGGTAACATTATTCTTCGAGGGATAATATCGAACTCAGGTGACTTCACATCTGAAAAAGAATATATCGAAGTAAAATAAGAGCAAAATCTGAAATGATTTGCACGTCATGTAATCCAAAAAATTCAAGTCGGGGGTGCGTCTCTCCGAGGGTGTAAGTGACGTGTAAAATTTTGTTCGCAAGTCATCCGAGGCGTCATCTCGCGTTTTTTCGCTCGAAGCCAGATATGAAGGGCCCGTTTTTATGCGAAGCATGGGCAAGGCCCTATATCGCAAGTCGACATGCTTTGCATGTAAAGTTTTTCCCCTTTGCTTCCACTTAGCATGCTTAGCACGTAAAGTTTTTCCCCTTTGCTTCCACTTGACATGCTTTGCACGTAAAGTTTGTAGTTGCCCA